TTCTAGATTGTCCATTACTCAATGTGTGAATTAAAAATATTCCTGGTAGGAATCACTTTATTTGAAGGGCTCCAGGCTGCGATAGACTGGGCTTGGAGCAGCCTGGTCTAGTGGAAGGTTGTCCTGGTTTAGGGCAAATTTGGGAGAAAACCTCCAAAGGGGTTCCTGTAGAAAGCAAATTCAAGTGGCCCTTCCCTAAACCAGTCCAGGAAAAGATTTCCTTGGAGAAAAGTGGAAAAAGCTGTTTATTTAACAGGCAAAGCATTCACCAGCACACCAAAAATGAACAATATGGAACAATGACACCTCTCACTGTTCTGCAGAGGTGACGCACTCCCAGAGTCCCTGGTGGGCTGTAGCTCAGCTCACTCAGTGTCTGATCAGTCCCTCCAGGGCTGGAAATGCCCCGTGGGGCACAGGGGAGAGCTGGGGGTGCTCTGCTGCTGTTCAGGCCACAGCAGGTTTGAACAGCTCCAAAGAGAAACCACAGTCCAGGGAACTTCTGTGCACCAGCTGCTAAAACTAACTAAAAGCAAAGGGGAGCTCTGTCCTGCTGTCTGTCCATCCACAGACAGCCCAGTCCAGGAGCAGGAATGTAGGGAGTGAGTGCAGTGTCTGAAAAGAAACTGTGCACTTCTTGTCTTCCCCTTTGCTCTCAGAACCAGCCTGAAAGGTGCAAAACTCATTTCTGGGCTAAACAGACCAATGGGAATGTGAGCATCATAAAGTCAGCCCAGGAGAAATGTGGAACATAGCAGGGGGTGGAACAAGATGGTCTCTAAGGTGTCTTCCAACCCAAACCATTCCATAATTCTGTGATGTGGAAAAAAATCACACTCAATGCAAATGAAAGGTGTGCACATTCTCACAGTTTGCAGTTATATGAATATTAAAGGCCAGAGGTGTATCCTAAGACAGGCTTTTTGATGTGATTTCTTTGTAAGGCTGTCAAACACTTTGCCTTTAAAATCCTCTTTGTGCCTAAGTGATTTAAAATATTCCCGGGTTGTCCTATTAATCATGTCATCTGGAAAACCAGGGTTTGCTTGAAAGAGTATTGAGGTTCATTATCTGAAACCTCAGAAAACCCATCTTTAGGAATGAGAGAAAGGCAGGTTCTGGAGTATTTAGATGTTAACAGCTGCTGACTTGTAAAGCCATGCTCAGCCTCTTGACTGGAGAAAAATCACATTTTCTCCCTTACAGCATCATAAAATCTTTTAATTAAAATTTTGACACACCAAACAAATACTGAAGGATTGATTCATGTCTGGGTTAAACAGGCATGGAGCAAGCCTTGGGGTAAACCATGGCATTAAAGTTCTAGAACAATTATTTCTTAAATTAGTTCTTAATTTTTAGGCGTAACTTCGTAACATGACTTGTGCTACACCAGGAGCTGGTGCTAGGGAAAGGATGTTCCCTTAGGCATTTGCTGCTTTGCTTGCATCCTGGACCTCTGATTTCATCTGCTTTGGGCATTTTTATGCTCAGGTGAGAACCCATGTACAGAGCTGCCCCAGCCCTGGGCTGATGGCAAAGGCAAGGTGGGAATTGTGTCCCTGTGCCCCTCCCTCAGGTGAGAGCCCACCTGCAGAGCTGCCCCAGCCCTGGGGCCAACAGCAGGAGGATGTGGAGCTGCTGCAGAGAGCCCAGAGGAGGCCCCAGAGCTGCTGCAGGGCTGGAGCCCCTCTGCTCTGGAGCCAGGCTGGCAGAGCTGGGAATGTTCCCCTGGAGAAGGGAAGGCTCCAGGCAGAGCTCAGAGCCCCTGGCAGGGCCTGCAGGGGCTCCAGGAGAGCTGCAGAGGGACTGGGGACAAGGCCTGCAGGGACAGGGCACAGGGAATGGCTCCCACTACCAGAGGGCAGGGCTGGATGGGATGTTGGGAATTGGGAATTGTTTCCTGTGAGGGTGGGCAGGCCCTGGCACAGGGTGCCCAGAGGGGCTGTGTCTCTCCCATCCCTAAAATCGCTCAGGGCCAGCCTGGACACGGCTGGGAGCAGCCTGGGACAGTGGAAGGTGTCTCTGTCTGTGGCAGGGGGTAGAACTGGATAATCTTTGGGATCCCTTCCATTCCAAACCATCCTGTGGTTCTATATTCTCAAAGCTACTTTTGACTTCACTAGGAGTCATGTTGCCAAATTGCACATTTTCTTTAGTAAAATAACTTCCTTTGAAGAACTAATAGCTTTTAGTTCGTCAGTCTCTTGGACATCTTCATCAGGACAGCTTGTTCATTGATTTTATAGCCATTAAACAAAGCACTCTGTGATAGCTGAAGGGGACAATTACAGGAACAACAACCCAGCAATCTGTTTCACACTTGCTTTCGTCTGCAATCTGCTGGTGTGCTTTAAATACCCGAGCACTCCTCGTGTCCTTTTCCCAAGTGTGAGCTACACACAAGTTTGCTTACGAACACTCCATTTGTGTGGATTGTTGGGTTTTTGCTTTGTGACAGTATCTACAATCTGCTCAAAATGCCTTTTTTTTTTCCCCTTTCTTTTTTTTTTTTTTCAAAAATTAAGGAAAACTTTACCACATGCCTTTTATGGCAGTAAAATTTTACAGCTTTTTTTAGCTAGACTGAGAGCCATAGAAGCTCATACACCCCCCCCCCCCCCCCAGCTTATCTACATTGGCCTCATCGTGCCTTGCCTGCACCCCCAAGTTACAGACAGTCCTCTGCAGTGAAAGAGTCTCAAAATTATAGGTGATTTGGCAAAGCAAAGGCCATAGAAGTTTCCAGAGGGTGGCAATGAGTGGCATAGGGTCTGGTTGGAGGCCTGTCTCCAGTGGTGTCCCCCAAGGTTCTGTACTGGGCCCAGTGCTGTTTGATCCATCAGTGATTTGGGAAGGCCTGGGTGGCTCCTGGGCAGTTCCCAGTGACACAGAGGTGGCAGGAGCCCCTCTGTGCTGCCCTTCAGGTGGACCTGACAGCTGGGAGGGATGGGCAGAGAGGAACCTGCTAAAATTCCACCGGGACAAATGCAGGGTCCTGCACCTGGCGGGGAGCAGCCAGCAGATCCTGGCGACCAAGGAGCCCCTGGGACCCTGGGGGCAGCAGGAAGGGCAGTGCCAGCAGGGTGGGGGAATCCTGCCCCTGTGCCCGGCCCTGGGGACAGCTCTGGAGTGATCCTGCCCCTGTGCTGGCCCTGGGGGCACCTCTGCAGTGATCCTGCCCCTGTGCCTGGCCCTGGAGGCACCTCTGGAGTGATTCTGCCCCTGTGCCCGGCCCTGGAGGCACCTCTGGAGTGATTCTGCCCCTGTGCCCGGCCCTGAGGGCACCTCTGGAGTGATTCTGCCTCTGTGCCGGCCCTGGGGACAGCTCTGGAGTGATCCTGCCCCTGTGCCCGGCCCTGGGGACAGCTCTGGAGTGCTGTGTCCAGCTCTGGATCCTCAGCACGGAGGGAGGACATGGATGTCCTGGAACAGGGCCAGCAGAGGCTGCACAGCTGAGCAAGGGCCTGGAGCATGAGGGAGCTGGGGCTGCTCAGCTGGAGAGGAGCCCCAGCTGAGAGGGGCCTCAGCCCTGGCTGTCCCTCAGTGTCCCAGTCTGTCCCAGTGTGTCCCTGTGTGTCCCAGTGTGTCCCTGTCTGTCTGTCCTTGTCTTTCTGTCCCTGTGTGTCCCCGTCTGTCCCTGTGTGTCTGTCCCTGTGTGCAGGGATCAGTACAGGCCCAGGCTCTGCTCCAGGCCCAGCCATGGCTCCAGAGCCACAGGCAGGGCCTGAGCCCAGGGAGGGGGTGGCACTGGATGGTCCCTAAGGTCCCTTCCAATCCAAACCATTCTGGGACTGGGTGATTCTGGGAATCAGTTCCAAACAATGTTGTTGGAGAACAGCACCTTCCTTTCACCCTCTTGTGTGCTGTGTGGGGATATTGGGGCACAGTGCATTTTGTGGGGTTTTCTATGGGGTTTTTGAGTGCTGTAAATGATCACTTTGGGCTTGGAGTGTCAGATTGCCCAGAATTAATGGGAAAATGCAGGTGGCAATGACGAGAGTTCTAGAGAGCATTTGGTGGTGCCTCAATCCAGCTTAAAAACAGGATAACTGGTGTTGCTGTAATAAGTAGTGATGGTAAATGTGTAAATCTGTGTCAGAGCATTGGGCAGTTCCTGCATTTAAGGTTAAGAGCACTGGGTTTTCTCATGCTGCACAAAGTGTTTGCCTTTTCTCTTATTAAATAGAGACACTGAGTCCCATTGGACCCCTTGCCTCATGGAATTCTGGCTTCTGCCTCCCCTGTCAAGCTGTGTTGCCACTATCAGACATTAGTCACTGGAGCCAACAAGAAGTGTGTCCATAGCTCAGCTAAAACTGAAATGCTGTTTCCAGCCCAGCTGTGTAGAAAGTATCTGGTTTTTGTGTGTTAGAAAAGGGGAAGCTGCATCGAAATGCTTAGAAGGGCTTAAGAGAACAATAAAGAGTTGCCTTGTGTCATGAGAGATTGTGGGGATTTGCCCAGGAAAAGGTTTTTTATTTTAATAAAACATTTTGCAATAAGGTCATGTTTGCCATTTTCTGTATTCAGCAAGGAAACAATAAAAAAAGGGGATTATTCAATAGAAACCTGACAGTGTTTTGATGGTGCTGTTATAAAAAATAGCAACTTCATTCTTACAGTAGTTACAAACTGCTGCTAGTTTAATTTCAAAATGATTCCCACAAATCCTATGGAATGGGAATCAGACAGGTGATGACAAACAACAGCTTAAAAAGTGAATAACTGCTATATGGAGACTCAGTCAGATCGTTTTCCCTCCCAGACGTGTCAGGCTCACATTGTGCATTGGGCTTTACTTCCAATAACTTGTTAAATTGTGGTAATGTGAATATTTACCATTATCTGTATTCTTAAGGCCATTAAAGCCCCTGGAGGTTATTTTTTCCATATTCATTGATGTCCCTTTGTATTGGGCAAAATCTTTTAGATACATTTGTCTTTCATCTTTGTGTCAGAACAATATGATGATAATATTTTTCTGTTTAATAAATTAGCAACTCCTGCGCGAGATGCAACAGATGGCAAGTCGCCCCTTCGCCTCCATCAACGTTGCCTTAGAAACAGATGAGGAGCCACCAGATCTCATCGGGGGGAGCATAAAGGTGAGAGCTGGGCCTTTGGGGTGGTCCTCACCACGATTAACCAGGGATGCTTTACACAGCAATCCCAAATCCTCTCATTTTTGTGTATACCTGTAAGAAACTCTAAATCCAGGAGGTCCAACAGGCACCATTTTAATTTACTTTTATCCCTTCAGATATTCACTGATAACTCTTGGGTTGGTTCAGATTAATGTTATACTGATGCTGAGTTTGAAGTGTTGGGTTTGCCTTGTTAGTTTTTATGCTTTGAAATAGAGAAGAATTTCAGCTTTACACCAGAGAGCACTGGGCTGGAAATAGTTGTAGGTGCTGCAAATAGAAACCCTTCCCTGTGATATCTCAAGACAAGTGTGAATATAATCATGTCTGTGTACTGGATAATGTTAACATATTTCTGATAACAAATATATATTCCAATGTATCTTGTAATTAGCAAATAGAAGCATGAAGAAATCATGGTCATACACCAGGCTGGCACATTCTTACACACAACATGTTGAATTTTTAGTGAAAGCATATTTAAGAGGTGATGAATTAATTCAAAGGTCTTTTTGATGTAATGCTTTGACCAGCACAGACTTTGATACAAAAAGAAAAAATTAAAAACCTGAAAACACTGATTATTTTTCTTTCTCATCTAAGGCAGCTGGATTGTTTTGTTTTATTTAGACTGAAGTTTTTTGAAAATTTTTCTCATTAGGCTTTAAGGTTAAGAAGGGCAGACATGGATTAGATGTTGGGAAAAAATTCCCGGTGAGGGTGGGCAGGCCCTGGCACAGGTGCCCAGAGCAGCTGGGGCTGCCCCTGGATCCCTGGCACTGCTCAGGCCAGGCTGGACACTGGGGCTGGAGCACCTGGGACAGTGGGAGGTGTCCCTGCCATGGCAGGGGTGGCATTGGGTGGGCTCTGAGGTCCCTTCCACCCAAACCACTCTGAGATTCTATGATTACTCCAGGTACTAAGTTTCTCACACTCTCTTACTATAACAAGAGAGCTCATTTTTAAAAAAAAACAAAACCAAAAACCTAAAGCACATGAAAGCAGTCTGACCCCAAAACTTTTATTTGGTGAGTAATAATTTTTAGTCTTGGCCTAAGTGCAGGCATTAAGGTTGCCTGTATAGCTTTGGCTCTTCCTTATTTGTGTGTAAATATGGTCTGGCATGGCAAGTTTTAATACTATTCCATGTGATTGGTGTCCTGCACCACCTTCTGGGTGTACACCGTGCAGAAGCAGCTTTTCAATATATGGAATCACAGAATAGTTAAGGTTGGAAAATCGCTCTGAGGCCATTGAGTCCAGCCACTCCCCCAGCCCTGCCAGGGCCAGCACTGCCCCATGCCCACAGAAGTGCCACAACCACAGGATGTTCAGATCCCTGCAGGGATGGGGACCCTGTGCCAGGGCTGAGCAGCCCTTTCTGGGAAGGCATTTTCCCTAATTTCCAGGCTGAACCTTTCCTGGTGCAGCATTAGGCTGTTTCCTGTCATCCTGTCTTGTACCTGGTTTGGAGCATAGTGAAGTAAAGTAAAGTAAAAAAAAAGGTCCTCAGTAATTCAGGTCATTAAGTATCTGGAACACTCCTTGGATGCTCTAACTGGTTCTCCTCCCCATTGACTTTCTCTTGACTCCAGATCCTCAGATTTTCTGATTTTTTTATAATTTCCCTGCTTCTGTCATGAGTCTGGTACTGGGAATCATTACCTCTGACAACTCACCAAGACTTGGGAATCCACCCTTGCAAAATCGGAATGTTACTCACCAAATCAGACTGAACTTTTATTTCATTGCTGATTAAAAAGGCTGTGGGATGCATGTGGATGTTGATGAGGCTGGAGGCAGATCTGGGAGGATGTATCCTGGCTGCTGATGGGTTGGGGTTGCAGTCTGTCTGTCTGGGGCCTTTCCCTTCATCTTCTTCTGTTGTCTGGAAGTAGCTAAAAACACCTCTCCTGTGGGATCAGGCCAGAACAAAGCTGTTCTAAACTTTTTGATCTCTGACAAGTTGTCTGCACTCAAACTACAGAGAGGATAAGCTCTGGATCTCTTCAGTTCTGATGAGTGTGTTATTCCTCCTCTTGTTCTGCTGGCCTCCTTGGGTTCCTCTGGAATGGATGGAGAAGCTGGTTTGAAGCACAATAAGAAAGACTGTGGAGAAATGTGCTATTTTAGACCCAGAAATCATTAGGAACTGGTAATTGCCTCTGTGCTGGTAACTCAGATACATGTTTCTTAATCAATTTTGGGCACAGATGAGGTGGTCTGATCATGCAATGGCACAAACTCTGTACAGTTATCTGGAGCTGAGGAGATGAATGTGCACCTGAAGTGTTGTGCCAATGGTAACTCCATAAAATCAGTCAATGTTTTGGGTTGGAGGGGAGCTTAAAGATCATCCCTTTCCTGCTGTCTGCCATCATCTGCTGGCAGGTGTGGCTGCAGAACAAGGGTGCCTCTACATGACAAGGAGTGTTACTAGGTTTGATGGGGTTTATATAGTTTTTTTCTCATCTTGGAGAACTTGGCTAGAGAATAAAAGTAGTCACAAAAGGCCAGAGTGTTTCACAAAAGGAGAGGAGGCTCAGGAACGTTGTGGGTTGGAAGCAACTTGAGGAAATGGTGCTTCTGAGATAGTCTGACCTGTTGGTCCCTGCATGGAAATGAATTTAAATAGAAATGAAAAACCAGTCTGAATATGTATGGGGTGTTATGGTTTAACATTAGCCAGCAGATTGGGTTTTTCTCCTCATCCCTTTTGCACCTGCATGGGAAAAAGCTCTTGGCAGGAGAGAGCTGCAGGAGGATGGGCTGGGGCAATGCAGAATTGGACAACTGTGCTTCTCTTTGTGGTCTGGCTGTTCTTTAACTCTTAGTCAAGAAAAGAGGGAAATGTTACTGTGGTGCTGGATGTTGTATCTGCCCTCCAGTTCCACTGCCATCCACTATGTCAAAGTTGGAGTCTTCATTTTAATTGCAAGAAAGCCAGACTTGTGTTATCATGAATTCAGTGATGCTTTTCTTTGCCCATGGGAATCAAAGCTGTTGGTTAATGATGAGTTGATTTGAAGGTTACAAAGGAGAAGTGGAAAATGGTATGTCTTGTCTGCAAAAGATTAATTTCCTATTCCATTGTCCATAGCCAGTTGGCAGCCAGTGTCAAGCTAGTTCCATCCAAAGCTAATGTTTTCCAGCTGGACAGTATTAGAACTGTGTTTTCAATTAGTAGTTTTCCTGGGGTACTTAGGAGTAATAGAAAGTGATTTACCTGCAGGGAAGCAATTCCTGTTAGAGGCTGCAGCTAGGCAACACGTAACTAGCTGCTTTGGTTTATTTGCCACTCAACAAATACCCACTGAATCACAAATCTACCACTAAATTTGCTTAGTTATTACAAAATCTGTTGGCTTCTCTCTGCAGCTCTTTGTGCATTCAGACGTGCTGAATATTGCAATTATTTTTCTAAGTGTGTTTAACTTCCTTGGGTGCCTGGGACTCATCCAAGTGTCTGAACTGGTATTGCTGTAGCTCAGGCTTTTTTAGGGCTTGTTATCGGATTAATCTAAGTCTTGTAATCCTCTGCAGCCATGCTTAGAAGCTTTCCTGAAAGAATTTGGGAAGTTTATAATTTTGACATTGATTTCCACCTATCTTGAAGTTGCTAAAGGCAAGAAGTTACCTTGGAAAAAACATGCACAGCCTAGCAAGCAAGTGCTGAGGTTGAGCAAAGCACTCACGGGGTCAACAAGAAAATGGTTGCAGTGGGAAAGAATGATCCTCAAATTGGAAAAAAATATTTTGGAATCTTTCAGAGGAGAGCTGGAGCAGTCTTTGCTGTGCTGTGTTCAGGGATCCAGCACGTGAATCCAGTGCTAAGTGTTGATTATTTTTGCACCCATGATCTTTAGTTTCCTAAAGGGAAAGGGAGAAGCATTTGGTGAGCAAAATCCTTATGAAGTTCATTTAGTGTGTTCTGTACCATTGTATCAATGTGCATTTAATTATGCTGTTTGAGGGCTTCACTACAAATCCTGAATCAGACAGCGAGCTGATTCCTTAAAAATAGCAGATAAATAGATGGGAAATAGCATCTTATTCTAGTAATTAGTTTGCTTTGTTATGGGAGAAAGTGCTTTTGAGTGGTTTAAAGGCTGCCAGAAGATCCCATCTGTTCATGAAGTGCAGAGCTAAAGTGATGAGCTGATTTGGGAGTGAGTAGGGGGTACCACAGATTAATTAATATATTTTCAGTCTATTTGTATTTTGCATCTGAGCGATACCCTTGTTAAATTCCTTTTGTATTGCAATGAAGTGGCAACCAGCAGTAAAGGGGCAGAGAAATGAGTAGTAAGTCCTGTGCCACAGAGTGCAGAGTTTGGGGAAGCTGCAGGGTGGGGAATGATTTGAAATGAAGCATCTGCCAGCCCCAACACTTCTACAGGGTGAATTCATGTTAATTTTGACATGTGGCTTGATTTTGGGCTGTTTCATGCAGCTGGAGTTCAGCGAAGAACTAAAGGCCAAGGAACTGATGTTTTTTACAGCTTTTATCTTGTTCTGGTTGTCACTCTTGATGACTCACTTCTCCTTTACTTCACATGTTGCTGACCTGCTTTTGATCCATCAGATTTGCTGATGGACCAGCTTTTGTGACATCTCCCAACCTACTCCCCTTCAGTGAGCTGGGTTAGTGTAAGCATGGCAAGGACAGCTCCAGCGAGCTGAGACTGGGGCTCTGTGCAAGAGCAGGATTTGGAGGGAGGCCAGGTATGAGGTGTGATGCACAAAAGCCTCATCAAGCAGAAATGACCAGGCTGTGTCAAATCATAGAATTGGTAAGGCTGGGAAAGGCCTTTAAATCACCACGTGCATTCATGGACACAGCACCACCACCATGTTCACCATTAAACTGTCTTCAAGTACCACATCCACAAGGTTATTGAGCATTTCCTTGGGTGGTGATGCCTATTTCCCTGGGCAGCCTGTGCAATGCTTTGCAACTC